AATCTGTCCTGTGACTATTACAGATGCTTGACGTTGGCGTCGTGCTTTTCCTTCTTCTAGTTGTGAAATAAAGACAAAGGGTATGAGGAAGTTGCTTCTATGCTCATGCGTGCGTTCCGCTTCTCGCTCACTTCTATCACCGACAGAGATAAGAATGGTACTTGAGAAGTGTTTCATATTTTTCCTATCTATCACGCAGGACTTAACTTTCAAGTCATAACGCACTATTCGTCACCCTTTCGGTAAGAGAAAAAAAGAATTCATTACTAAATATAATCTCTGTTTTAGCTGTAACACTTTTAAACTTTTAGATAGTGAAAAGCGGTTTCTATAAATAGCTTCAATAACTTCCTTTTCTACAAAAATATAAATTTGTGCCAGACTAATTGTTGTTTTATTAGATAATGAAATTTAATGCATTAATATGCTTTTATTTGCAGGGCTTGGACAGTTCTAACAGTGTACCTAAAAGCAAATTAAAAGCATGCTGTCTAACTTCTCTAAATGTGAGAAGTTTCAAACAGGCGCCCTGCCTGTGGTGTATGGAGTTGAGTTTGTCGTGGCTCTGGCTGGAAATCTGTTCGCCCTGTGGCTGCTGGTCGTCAAAGAGAGAAGAAACTGGCACACCGGTGTTGTTCTGTCATGCAACTTAGCCATCAGCGACCTGCTGTACGTCCTCACCCTGCCGTTGTTAATCGTCTACTACTCAAAGGACAAGCACTGGATGTTCGGCGACGCTGTGTGCAAGCTGGAAAAGTTTCTTTTCACATGCAACTTATATGTGAGCATCTTCTTCATCATGGCGATAAGCGTGAATCGATGCGTGGCCCTCGCTTGTCCATTTTTCACCCGCTCCTATATAACGCCTGGCCACGCCAAGGTCACCAGTATAGTCATATGGGTCATCGTTGGAGTCATTTCCAGTCCGGTGTTGAAATTTGCATCTGTTTGCTCAGATGGGTCTAATAACAAAATTCAGTGCGTGTCCTTCTGCAACAAGACTGAACACCCTCACTATGTTTACAAATTTTTCCTCTCTATGTTTGGGTGTCTGTTTCCCTTCCTGGTTACTTTCACTTCTTACTGTGTGGTGATTTGGGTAGTTTGGAAAAATGTTAACATAACCCCTCTTGAGAAACGCAAAGTCGCCCTGTTAGTCGCATCAGTGCTTGTGCTGTATGCCATTTCTTTCGTGCCTTATCATTTCTTTCAGATTTATCACTTGCATCTAAGATTATTGCATCCGGAAAACACTGTCTGTTGGATCTATGATATGTACCAAGTGTCAAAGGGACTGGCAACTGTGAACATGTGTATCCATCCGGTCCTTTACATGGCTGTGTTTGACAGTATGAGAGTAGCGTGTTGTGGAAAAAGCTCAGAAGACAACATCGGGGGGTGATGAGCTGTTGCTCTTGTTGTGGTTTTTGTGTACAGTCTAACACATGCAATGCAATGCATATAGCACTTGCTTGGCTTTCTTGTAGCTATCTTATTTCAAAGTGTTACTAGTCTCTATTATGAGTTTTCTAAAACACTTTCATTGTGTTTCTTTTGGTTAATTTCCTGTTGGCCTAGTTCAGCAATAAAAATTATACTGAATCAGTTATTTCTTTTCATTTTGTTTGCAAGGAGCCAGCCTTTCTTATATTTTTAAGTGCTCCTGAGCAATAGTTCTCTATGGTTTCACAAATTTTCAGTCCAGTCATTGCATCTGATCACATCACCTGAAAAACGTTTTGTTTTTGTGTTTGTTTGTTTGTTTAACCATTTTATACTGACATATGAATCATTCAAGCATTAACAAAGTCCTCTATGGCAAAGGATGAACCCGAGTTGTGTCTACAAATAACAGACAACATAGCAAAGAACCAATTTTTAAATGTATCTTTTAATTTTTTGTTGCTAGCAGCTTGTCAGAAAAATATTTTAACTTATTCAAAGTACTTTAGTTGAATCTATGAAAATTCCCAAAGATAAATAAAATATTTTTTGCATCAACAACATGATTCCCAACGGGATATTAGTCAAGTGCAGTGTGTCCTTCAAAAAATCTAAGGAAACTGAACAAGTGCAGAACAAAAGAAGAAGTGATGGGTCTGAAAAAATCAAGCTGTGTATGGCAAATGATCAGTCCTGACACAGGGCCTGAGATATGCATCTGGCCCTTGAGCAGATCTAACATTTCTTTGACCTATGCATCTCAGAATTTTCGGTTGTCTGCAGGAGAGACTGCACCCAATTGGACAAGAAACCAACTTCTTTTAAAATGCTTTACTACAATTGACAACATGTTAAATCAAGTCAACATGCCAGCTTCTAAAGTTGACCGACCATCATCTACAGACATCTACCACTTGAGTGAGACAGGCTGCAGTGGTGCAACCTCTGTCCAAAGGATTTGTAAAGGTGCAATCTCCAGAAATACCTTATGTTCCTTGACTTGAATGCAGACCAACAGTGCTTTGCAAAATACTGCTAGAAATAAAGGTTTTCTAATGCCCCAAAATTTGCTCTTGAATGTGCTTCTTTTCCACTATCAAACATGTGAGGAAGGTTTGAAAGAATCCAGAATATTATTTAATTTTCACTAATCTAGTTTTGTGTAGTACAAATCCCTTTAAAAATGTAGTTGGTCGAATTGAAAAATAAAAATCGTTGTTATTGTTGCTCTTAAAAAAACTTTTTAAATGAAATTTCACGTTCATGTAAATTGCATGTTCGTGTCTTTGTTTGTTTGTTTGTTTGTTTTTAAACCCCTAAGATCTCAGATATTGCTTTCTGTTAAAAACTTAATTTTACATTTGCGTAGAATTTTCCAGATTATTATCAACCCCGATGTTTAATTTGGTTCGGTTTTAGACAATGAGTTCTGCGCTCTTATTTTGAAGCAAAAAAAGGGATTACGCTATACTTTTATTGTGAAGTGGTAGGAAGTGCGTACAGTAGCGACGCCGCTCGACTCATACTGCTCCGGTCCTAAAGTGAAGCTAGCAGTAAGGATGCCGTCGAGTGAATACGACGAGTAAGTTCTGTTTGTTTCATTTCATACTGTGAAGTCTTTATTGAGCTCAAAATAACGTTGCATTTTCGCATCTGTCTTTCAGCTCCAAGCCCAGCTGGGCTGATCAAGTTGAGGAGGAAGGAGATGAAGGTAAAGAGCCTATTATCAGCTTTAGCTAATGCTAACACATCTGCTGTAGTCCAGTGACTCAAGAAGGAGGCCGGCTAGGCGGTTTCCACTTCCACGTGGTTGTTAGGCGTAAACGTAGAGCTAAAAATGTGTTTACCTGAGACATTTGGGTTGTCTAATTATGCAAAAGCTGGAGTGATATATTCGTGTGACTGACATGGATGGACGATTTATTGATGAAAAGAGTTACCGATATATGCTGAGGCCTGTAACAGTGACGTAAGCAGGGTCTCTCAGTACTAACATGAGTGCAGCTATCAGCTAGCAGGCTACGCTAGCAACACAGCTGTGTTAGAAGTAGGGTTTCAGCGCCACGGGTAATCAAAAGTCAATAAGTGTCTTATTGCAAATAAGAACACCCGAGTGTGAAATCCAATTCAGAACTGGATATTTGATCAAAAGATGAGCCTTGATGGTGCTTTCATTGAGAGTTTGATTGAATACGTGGGAAGCGAAGCTCTTCAGAAACGGGGCGTGAAAAACAATCGTTTTTCTAGCAGTTTCAAGGACTAAACTGAATGTTTTCTTCACAGGCACACTGCCATCCCCCAAGGAGACCATCAAAGGAAATATTAAAACTGTCACGGAATATAAAATAGATGATGATGGAAAGAAGTACAAGGTAATAAAACGTTTATTATGTCGTTTTTACAAGACTCATTATACAAAGTCTTATCTTCATTATATTTAAATGGTTAAAAATGCATCTATCATTGCATTTGTAGACCAATAGAGTTATAAGAATGGATGCAGTGATTGCATTACTTTTGTTAAGGAGATATGGATACTGTCTGTAGTGCTGTAGGACAAGTAGTTTTTTCTCCCACTCATTGATCCTTTGCTAAGCATGGGTGTCGCCCATGTAGTAATTGCAGTCTAAAACAGGGCTCTGGAGGAGCATGAAAAAAATGGCTGCACAAAAAAGTGCAGGAAAAACGGTTGTTACTGATATAACTGCAGTTCTGTAACGGAGTGTGATAAGGTTTATCATCGATTGTGTAAGGTTATCAGGCTTTAGTCTGTGGTGTCCATGGTCAACCCTGGGCTGCACCTCTGAAACCCTGTGGCACATGATGGGTTGTACAATTTATTTTGAGCATTAGAACTTCATAAGCTATGAGTAATATATGTTAAAAAGCAATTACAGGCACATTTAAAACGTAGATACAGAGTAAAACCCATTCTTGTTTTCCATCTACTAGATTCTAAATTTACAAACTTCTCAATTGACATGTTATAAAGCAAAGTTACAGATGTAGTCATTAAATGGTTATTAATATTTCAATTCAATTCAATTTTATTTATATAGCGCCAAATCACAACATAAGTCGCCTCAATATTTCTTTTATTGATACCAGATGCCCTCTAGAGGTCATAGTTTCATCTGAAAGCTTTGAGTAAGACTGCATTTTTTTCAAGATTTGTATAGATTTTATTAGAGGCGCATTAGTTCAGGGTGGCTGCGGTAAAGCAGGTCATCTACTAACTGGAAGGTTGGTTGTTCGGTTCCTTGCTGCTCCAGTCTGCATGCCAAACTATACAGACACTGAACCTGATGCTTTTATTGAAGTGTTAATGTTAGATAGAAACCAAGGTAGAAAAAATGCTTTTGTTAATTGGTGAATGAGACATGTTGCATAAAGCCTGAATAGAGTAGATGACTGCTAGATGAGAACCAGTCCTTTTAACATAACCTTCATAAATATTTGCACTTGCTGTATACAAAGGAACTTGTTTGTAATATTATTAATTAATATTAATATTGATTTATTTGTTGTTGATTTTGTTTGTTTGTCCTCTAGATTGTGCGAACCTTTAAGATTGAGACAAGGAAAGCCTCAAAAGCTGTTGCCAGAAGAAAGGTCTGTCTTTAAATTAAATAAAAGTAAACCTTTTTCCACTTTATCCATGAACAAAATAGTAAACTCTGTGTCAAACATTATCCTGCACTCATTTTAGAACTGGAAGAAATTTGGTAACTCTGAGTATGATGCACCAGGTCCTAATGTTGCCACCACTACCGTCAGTGATGATGTCTTCATGACTTTCATCTCCAGCAAAGAGGTGAGAGTCTTGTTTCTTTTGTGTTACTGCTTTTGGTTACTGTTCTAATTATAAAAAAAAGTTAACTATGGTGTAGCTTTGCATCTTTACTTGATGTATCTTTTTCATTTTGTAGGACTTAAATGCCCAAGACCAAGATGAAGATCCGATGAACAAACTGAAAGGACAGAAGATCGTGTCTTGTCGTATTTGCAAAGGTGATCACTGGACTACACGCTGTCCGTACAAGGACACCCTGGGCCCAATGCAGAAGGAGCTGGCTGAACAGCTCGGGCTTTCTACTGGAGACAAGGAGAAGCCTGCTGGTTCAGGTATCATGAACATACCATTCAGATGTCAGATGTTCTGTTGCGGTTTGGTGTTCCTAAAGTTATCATGACTAATGTTGCATGCTTTTCCTTTCACCAGCGGAGCCAGAGCCTGCACAGCCTGCACAGAGCAAGACCGGGAAGTATGTTCCTCCGAGCCTGAGGGATGGAGGCACCAGAAGAGGGGAGTCCATGCAGCCTAACCGCAGAGGTGGGTGCACATTGTCTGCTTATACTATTCACACCCGTTATTCTTTGAGAAATTGCCATAGGCATTATAAAACATGGATGTAACTTCCAGGTCAGAAAAATGAAGCCAGTGCAGCAATGCAGCCATCTGGTGGCTTTCTATTGTGTTGCCACCAGATGGCGATAGAAATGCAGGGTTTCAAAAAGACTTCCAGTCCTATAGAAGTTTAGAGGGAAAGGCTTTCTTAGTTTATGGGCTCTCACTTATTTTTTTTCACTTTTTTGGAAGTCTTAGTAATGCTATGTTTCAAAAAGGAAGATGAAATTGCATGCTCAATGGCTAATGAGTTGTCAGTCAAAGGACATTGCACTGAGCTTGCAGTGTTACAGTCACACCCAGCCTCCCAAATTGCGTCCAGTTTTTGCAACCGAGATGGCAACAGTGGAAATGCTAAACTTCAGGGCTTCAAAACAGATCTTTAGAAACCAGTGGATGGTGTAATGGTAGTGGTATTATGGTTGATAATGCCTGCACAGCCTCAAGTATTGTTCAATAGAAGCACTGTTTGTTTTTGACAGCTGATGACAATGCTACCATTCGTGTCACCAACCTGTCTGAGGACACCCGTGAGACAGACCTGCAGGAGCTCTTCAGACCATTTGGCTCAATCTCAAGGATCTATTTGGCCAAGGACAAGAACACGGGACAGTCGAAGGTCAGTTATAAAGCGAACATTTGATTTAATAAAGTGTCAGCAACAATTTCTTAACAAACCTCTTTCCAAGACGGTGTAGCTGATAAATTGACTACAGTGTTTAGTTTTCTGTTCGTAAGAAAATACACAAAC